ACAAAATAATTGCCGTAGATCTGTTCTACGTGCAAGTGGACCAGCAGGCCACCCCGACTGCTGAATGTCATCGATCATGGGTCAAACCTCCAGTCCTGTACCTTTCTCCCCGGGGCCACTTCTCAGGATGTCTGGTCTGCTTTCTGTCGCATTTGGGTTCGTCCGTACGGAATTCCAGAGGTTTGAATAAACGACGGAGGTTCCGAATTTGCCGGATCGTTTGCGAGAGGTCTCGAGCACCTAGGGGTTCTGCATCATATCTGTAATTCTGAGGCCCCTCACGAGAACGGTAGGTGTGAGAGACACGGAGGACTGATCAAGGATGCTCTGTCGAAAGCAGCGCTGTTGTCCCATCCTGTCAATCTCGAGGAGATGGAAGATCTATTGTGCGAAACGATCGCTGCGAAAAAACGCTTCTCACACAGAGGCGGCTTTTCGCCGTTTCAACATGTTTTCGGCGAAAATCCCCGACTGCCGAGGTCAATGCTGTCTGATGGTGCTCACGACGAGATTGGCACCGACGACGTTGCAAGGGGCACGTCGGATGGAGACACCGCTGCGGCCACCTATGCTCGGAAGCATGCGCTTCGTGAGGCTGCTCGCAAGGCCATGATGTCTCTGGACGTGGCAGACCGTCTCAGATACGCCTCCCGGGCCAGGAAACACACCGACAAGCAGTGCAATCCAGGCACCTGGGTTTACGTCTGGCGTCGCGCCAGCGCTCAGACTCGGTCCGAGAATCTCCAGAGAAGCAGGTGGACCGGGCCAGGAGTTGTTGTTTTTTTCAGCAGAATTCGACGCTGTGGATAGCGATGCGAGCCAAGCTTTTGAAGGTCTCCGAGGACCAGATTCGACCCGCCACCAAGGAGGAAGCTCTTGGAGGCGAGTTACTTGACTCCGTCGCCTTCGACCGACTAAGGAAAGAGCTGGCCTCTCCAGGGCGTCGGGCTGGCGCGGTGGACGTTCAGTCAGAGGGGCCTCCACCTCCTGAGGCCTGGGATCAGCTTTCCGAAGTCGACGAGGACCCTCCTACGAGACAGGAGCAACCCATCCCCCGGATCGATCCGTCCGAGCCCCCGCTTTCCCCGGCCCCTCCTTCTCCTCTCGGGCCTCCTGAGGCCCCGGCCCCCGAGGTGGTCGTGATCGATCCAGAGCCCTTGCCCCCAGGTCAAGAGCTGTCCACCGAGCCCCCGGCCTCGGGCAGGCAGACGCGCCAGGCCAGCCAGGAGTCTCCCGATCTCCTCTCTCATTCGTCCTCCCGCGACTCTTCTTCCTCCGTTCCCTCCGCTCCTCCTCCTCCGCAGGTCCATTTACAGCCCGCCGCCGAGCTCAGGCAGGCGTCTTTTCAGCCCCGCAGGCCTCTCGTCAATCCCCCTGAGCCTGAGCCGACCCGCCCCGGGATCACCCCGATCGAACAGATGGGCCCTCCGGCTCCCGGGAGGGTGCAGGACCAGGTTGCCGAGTTTGATGCCAGATCCGGGACCGTTCCTCCTCCCAGGCCGATCGTTAGAGGCGCGGGAGCAAATGATGTTCCGATGTGCATTTTAAGACAAAGGGCAGCTCAGCCCCCGCAGCCTCCCGCTTCTCAGACCGCCGCCAGAGTGGGCTCACGTTCGCCCAAGAGAGGCGGGCCGTCCGAAGGAGCGTCGGCGTCGGGCCATTTTGGGCACGTCGAAGGGGGTTTCACGCCTTGTTCGGGCTTGCCGACTACTAGTCTTGCCTTTTGGTCTGCCCAGATAGAGGACGGGGAGCAAGAAGAGCAGCTGTGGGGGGGGAACTGTGCTCGTGGTTTTCGCTTTCCCCCGACTTTTACAGGGATCCTCAGCCGACTCAGGTCTTTGCAGCCGACCAGTCAGGCCGGGGGCCCAGCAACGCTGCCCCTCCGTCCCGTAGAGGGGCGGAGGTTTCCTTGAAAAACCTATCCCCTCGTGAGAGGGCTCTGTTTGACTTTTCTGATGCTAAGGAGTGGGGGGCCATTTTGAGCTCAGGAGCGGTGCGAGTTGTACCGGCCTCGGAGGCCTCTATCATCAGAAGGCGTTGTCCCGATCGTATCCTTGGATCCAGGATGGTGAGGCGCTTCAAACCCCAAGAAGGAGTTGGTTCGGAACCCTTGGCAAAGTCAAGATGGTGCGTGCAAGGCCATCGAGATCCAGATTCGGACGAGCTTCACGTGTACGCTCCCACTCCTCAGAGCGAGACCGTTCTTTTGACGCTACAGTGCGTCGCTTCGTTGGGTTGGAAGCTTCAGATCGCTGCCGCAAAGAGCGCCTTTTGTCAGAGTGACCCGTTGCATCGCCCAAAGGGAGCTATTTACTGCGAGCCATGTCAAGGTTTAAATTTGGCTCCGGGAGAACTCGTGGAGCTTATCGCTCCAGTTTACGGGCTCAACGATGCCCCGGTCCTCTGGAACCGAACCCTAACTGACTGGCTCGGTTCGATCGGATTTCGCAAGTCACTTTTAGACCCCTGTCTGTGGTCGCTTCGATCGGGCCAAGGTGAGCTTAGGGCAGTCATTCTCATAGAGGTCGACGACCTCCTGGTGGCAGTTCATTCCTCGATGAGCTCTTTACTTAAGGAGCAGATGCAAGCCAGGTTTCATTTCGGAAAGTGGCAAGATGGCGAGGCCGACTACGCAGGCCGCCATGTTAAGCAGTATGCAAATAAGATATGCGTTGATCAGGAGAAGTACATCCAGGAGCAACTCACGCCGATGCGGCTCGAGAAATCTCGTCTTTCGGACCCTTCTTCCCTGTTGACCCCGAGTGAGGTCAAGCTTTACAGAACCATGATTGCCCAGGTCCAGTGGGTCGCTCGAGAGTCGAGGCCGGACGTTTCGGGCTGTGCTTCCTTGCAGAGTGCGGCGTTGCCGAGTCCGACGGTCGCGGACGCCCAGCTTGTGATGAAAGCGTGCAAGTATCTCAAGTCGACTGCTAGTCAGCGTTTGACTATCTGGCAGCTCGATCCGGTGTCAGTCACATTCGCGGCGATATCGGACGCTGGAGGCCCAGGATCGGCTCGGCGAGGTGGAGCGCAAGGCGCCTTTCTTGTGCTTGCCGCAGATAGTAACATCAGAAGCAACCATCGTGCAAAAGTGTCACTGCTTTCTTGGAGGTCCCAGAGGATCAAGCGTGCCGTTTCGTCTACCGCCGCCGCAGAAACGTTGAGCCTGTCTTCAGCGGTAGCCGAGTCCCAGTGGCTGCAGATAATGTGGAGAGATCTCCTTTTCAACGATGTGAGCAAGCCCGACTGGCACCTCAGCCAGGCGCCCTTCTCTCTTGTTCTGCCCCGCGATTGCTCTCTCAGTGAGGGTGTATTGTCGGTCTCGGTCGTCGATGCGAAGTCGGTCTTCGATGTTCTGACTCGCAACGGTGCCGGCACCAAGGCCGACCGGCGCAACGCCATAGAGATGGCAGTCATCAGGGATAGTCTATCCTCCTTAGGATCACAGATCAGATGGGTCCCACACGGACTCATGCCCGCAGACTGTCTAACTAAGGCGGACGTAGCTAAGGGGAACCTGGCGTTGAACGACCTTCTCAGGAAGGGCACCCTCGCCCTCATAGACGAGGATCTCCACATGAGCGAGAGAGCCCTAAACGAGCACCTCAAGTCCAGGACGAAATCAGCTTCGAAGCGAGCCATCCAGAACCAGTCCAAGAGCCCAGGCTGCGAGTCCCTGGTTTCCGGTCCCGTATATGCTAGTCTAGAGATCGCTGAAGGGAATGAAGGGGATGGACCCATGTCTGTTCCACGAAAAGTGGTCCCGCTGTCTCTCCTTGCCCACTCCCCCCCAAGTCGTGCGCGCTTGTTGCCAGCTATGTGAGAGACATTGTATAGTCCGTTTCTGTACGTAGCCGTTCTGGTTTTAGCCAGCATGTTCTTTACAGGTGCTCTCGAGTGAAGGAGTCTGAAACATATCATCGTATCGGTCGCACGATGTCTCGCGATGCTGACACCCTTGGGGCGCCGACGTGCCTCGCCTGCTGTATCGTTGTGAATACTTGGGCCACAGCGCGAAGTGCACCACAGGCACGCACACCGCCGCAGGCGTCCCCACAGTCTCGTCGCGAACCTTGAGTGACCCCACCCTTGGCGGCTCCCCCTTGGGGTGCCCAAGTGCCACGCCTGTCGTATCACGGTGGGCACTGGGCCACCAAAGGAAAGCAGTCCGGGAGGGCAGAAGCAGGCAGCACGCTTGAGACATCCCCGCGCACTGCCCCGAAAGCAAACGAAGTTGGGCACGCAAACAGGCAAACCGCCTGAGACATCCCCACCATGTGGGCGTGAATCCTGGAGTGTCCTGAGTGACCCTTGGTGCCCTCCTTGAGAGTGCTGAAACCAGCGCCTCGTTTCAGACATCCTCCGAACGTATTCCGAAAGGACAGGTGTCGTGCACGCAAACAGGCAAACCGCCGGAGGAATCTACCCACTGTGGGCGCGAATCCTGGAGCGTCCTGACCCTTGGCGCCCTCCCCCTTTAGGAGTGCTGAAACCACCGCTTTGCCTGAGACGTCCTCAGAATCTCTGTTCCGAAAGCAGAGGATGCCGGGCACGCAGGCAGGCAAACCGTCGGGGGCATCCCCACAATCCACAATCTCGGCGCGGATCCCGGAGTCTTCTGACCCCTGGCGCCTCCTCTTTGGGGTGCGAGTGGGTCTGCGTCTGGGTCTGGGAGGGAGGGAGGGAGGGAGGGAGGGAGGGGGTCTGGGCATCTTCGAGGCGAGCGCGTGCGGCCTCGCTTTTGGGTGCGAGCGAGTCCGGGAGCGAAGGAGTCGGAGCGTGCGGGAGCCTTCGGTGTGAGCGAGCCCCTTGGCATCGCTCGGACGTATGCATTTCTCCTTCGGCGAGGACCATCGAGGAGCATCCTGGATCATTTCGCGAAAAGAAACCGCGCACGATACCGAAAAGCGCACAGGAAATGGACGTCCGAGCGATGGCCAGGTCCCAGGCGTCTCGAGAGGCCGTGCACCGCGGGGATGTCGCGCTTACGGCCGCGGGAGGCGACGAGGACTCCTGACGCGCGGCAGGCCCGGCGTCGGGCCGCCGTCGGCGGGCCCCCGGGGCCGCGGCCCGCGGCGGGCCCGCGGAGCAAAGGCAGGGAGAGAGGGCGACGGCGACCACCGGCCACCGACGACGGCCGACGGCCGCGGTGAGGGCAGGTCGACGGCGACGACGACGACGTGCACAAGAAGAACGCGTGGGCATCGTTCTGCTGGTGTCGGCGACGCGGACTGATAGTTTGATGATGATGATGCTGCTGATGATGATGATGATGATGATGATGATGAAGGTGATGCTGAGGATGATGAGGATGATGATGATGATGATGGTCATGATGCTGATGATGCGCTGATGATGGTGATGATGGTGATGCTCATGATCATCGTTTCGTTCATGTTGATGGCGCCGATGAAGTTGATGGTGGTACTGGTGATGGCGATGACGACGAATGCGATGATGGTGCTGGTGACGACGAATGTAATACTTATGATAATGAGGGTGACGGCGATGATGATACGTATGATGATGCTGATGGTAATATTGACGGGGTTGATCCTGATGATATTGTTGATGAGGATGGTTATGATGATGCGGATGATGTTGATGGTTACGATGATCGTTGCGATGGTGATGATGATGAAAAGTGTGTTGATGCGTATGATGCATACGATGATGACGGTGCTGCTGATGATGGGGATTCTGCTAATGCTGAGTCGATCATGTCAGTGACTATGCGGATGCTGAATATGATGATGATGATGCGGATGATTATGCTGTTGATGATATCGGTGGTAACGACGACGATCATCACGACGATGTTGTTGATGATGATGATCATGGTGAGCAGGAAGATCATGATGATGCTGATGCTGATGCTGATGATGACGATGCTGATGATGATGATGATGATGATGATGATGATGCTGATGCTGATGATGATGACGGTGGAGATGGTGATGGTGATGGTGGTGTTGATGCCTGTGATGATGCTGATGCTGGTGCTGCTGCTGGCGCGACAATTATGATGTAGCAACGACGATGTTGACGATGATGTAGCGGCGACGATGTTGATGATGCTGATGATGATATTGATGATGGTTACGACTCTGACGACAACAATCTCCGATATGTGGATAACGATGGTGATGATTATGTTGATTAGTATGTTCATGTCGGTACTGGCCATGCGTGCGATGACGACGATGGTGATGCATCGTATGATGATGCCGCTGAAGATTGTGATGATGTTGGTGATGATGATGGTGATAATGATGGTGGTGGTGGTGGCGGTGGTTTTGATGCTGATGCTGCTGCTGCATATGAAGAGGAGGATGGCGCTGATGATGATTCTGATGATGAGGATGAGGATGAGGCTGCTGCGGATAATGATGATGCTGATGCTGATGATGATGCTTAAGCATGATCATGCTGACGACGACGAACATGCTGATGATGTTGATGATGATGAGGATGATGATTCCGATGGTGATGATGATGATGAGGATGAATCTGTTGATGATGATTATGATGATGGTGGTGATGGTGATTCTGATTATGTTGATGATAGTGATGATGCTGCTGCTGATGATAATGATACTGATGATGACGATGCTGATGCCGATGATGATGATGATGATGATGCTGATGATGATGATGATTACGATGGTGATGATGCTGCTGCTGATAGTGATGATGCTGGTGATGATGCTGGTGATGATGATGATGATGATGATGATGATGATGATGATGATGATGATGATGATGATGATGATGATGATGATGATGATGATGATCATTGATCATCTTGCGAGCAATACAAGCACGAAACAGAAACTTTCACAGGGAATGGACGTCCCAGTAACGGCGAGGTGGGGCGCCGTCCTTTGAGAAGCCCTCTCGATGTGGTACCTCCTGATGCTGCCCACGACGCCATCCCGCGGGTCGCAGGCAATGAGCAGAGATCCACTTCTGGCAGCCGGCCATGCCTCCCCTGGCGAGGACCACGTGGCCCCGCGCAGCCCGCGGCAGAGCGGCCGTGCCGATGGCCTCTGGTGGCGGCGCGGCTGGGGGGCCCTCTCCACTTGCCGACCTCGTGCCTCCTCGCTGCCTCTGCGGCGTTTCCCCTGCAGTCCCGAGGCGGTCCGAGGCCTCGCCTCTCCGCTGGGATCGGCCACGCCCGCCTGGCATTGGCCACGCCCGCGCCCTTCCGAGGCTCTGCAGCTGCCGCCCGCGTCCTCGCCGCCGCCGCCGCGCCCGCCGCCCACACCCTGCTGCTGCCGGGGCGCGACGCACTCTGCTCGTCGGGCTGCTGGCCGAGCTGGGCCGCAGAGGCGAGGGGGGCAGCCGCTGCCACCAGGGCTCGTGGCCGTTCGGCTGTGCCTGGGCTGGAGGAGGAGGAGGAGGAGGAGGAGGAGGAGGAGGAGGAGGAGGAGGAGGAGGAAAGAGGAGGAGGAGGAGGAGCAGGAGGATGGCGCCAGCTCCTGCCGGGACGCCCCCCGTGACCGAGCTCAGGCTGGGACCAGCGCTCCCGCTCGCGAGGACACCCTTTGCCGAGATGGCGGCTCCAGGGCGGGGAGGGCGGGCGCCGGGCGCGCCCGAGGCAGGCCCCCACCGCCCCGGCCAGGACGAGCGCGTGCGCGTCGGTCGGTGCCCTCTGCCGAGCCAGCGGCATGGCCTCGGTGAGCGTTGCTTGCCGATGCGGACGTTCCCTTGGCAAATTGGGCCTCGCGTGATGGGCGGACGATACGTAAATAGAAGGCAGCGAGGACTGCCGAAAAGGGGCCCTCTAGGCCCTCAGGGGGGGCCCTTGAAGGCCCCAGAGGGGCCTTTCGGGTCCGAGAAGAGCACCTTTCTTCCTTCCCGCAGTTATCGCCCCCCATTGATTCACGCCCGAGCAAGTCGCGGCGACACTGCACCCCGTCGGTCGGCACCCGTTTCCGAGACAGCCGACAGGCCTCGGTGAGCAGTGCGTGCCAACGACGCCGATCCGTCGGCAAGACGCGGCGACTGAGGCGGCTCCGAAACCTGCTCCTCGCGCAGCGTCAGCCTTGCACCACGCGCAGCAAGTGGGATTCGGGGATGCGCGCAGAGGGAGCGGTACTGGCCTGACCCCGTGGCGTCCGCACTGCCCGTGGTTCCCTGCATGGTCCTCCGCCGCTGTGGTTTGCCTTGCCGACTTGGACTGGTGGTCCACCTCATGAGGGCCTTGCGATCGACGTTGTGGATGGTGGCAGCGGCGCGCCTGGGCGAGCAGATGAGGGGTCGTAGCCGGACACGGAAACGCATGCGGGGCGGCTCGCCTCGTCTCCACTAGGGGACCACATGCGAACCCTACCCCTACCCCCCACGAGTTCTGAAGGGGTAGGTTTAGGGTTCGCATGTGGCTTCCTATCCACGCCACTGTGAACATCTCCGGTGTCAGCCGGGCTGTGGTCCTGCCGGTTCTCGCCTTCACGCTGTCGATGCGGGCGTGCTGGAGCATGTCATGTCGCTCACTTCGGGCACGCGTGCATTGTCCAGCCGTCCTCGGCGTCCGATTCCCCGCCAGGCCCACTGTCTTGGATCCCACGCGTTGCCAAGACTGGCGCCTCCTTCTCGATTCGTGGGGCGGGGCTCCTGTTGGAGTGCTCGAAGGATGCACCGAGGTTGCGTCGTTCTCGCTCTCGAGGCTCATCGTCGCGACGCTACTGCTCGAGGCCGCGAACTCCAGGATCGTCGCCTTCTACATGCGCTGGCGGCTTGTGAGAGCGATCGTCCAACCACCGTCTTCGCACATCCATCCCCCCGTTTGGCCTGGCCACAGCCGTCTCGAAGCCCTCGGGGTCGGTCCCCTCGACCTCCTGGAAGGCCAGTCGGAGTCCCCGCCGCAAGCGTATGTCGGCACGCCACCCTTCGTCACAGATCGCTCGCGCCATCCGTAAGCGCTGCGTGAGGCCCGTCCCGTCCTCGAGTAGGGCGTGGAAGCCTATCACGAGGGCACTGTGGTTGGGGACGCAAGGCGCGCACCACCTGGACAAGGCGAGGTAATCGTCGGCGACTTTCGGGGCCGCCCTCGGGCCGGGTGTCCACGGCCTGGACCACATCGTCAGTGCTCGCGATAACCAGCCGCGAGCCCGAGTGGCCGTTTTGGGGCGATGCTCAGAGGCCCCCGTTGATGAGCCTGTTTTCCACCACCACCACCATAAGTTGGAGGGGGGGGGGGAGGAGGAGGAGGAGGAGGAGGGAGGAGGAGGAGGGAGGAGGAGGAGGAGGAGGAGGAGGAGGAGAGGAGGAGGAGGAGGAGGACCCCCCTCCCACTGGTGGTGGTGGTGGTGGAGAACACGCCCACCACCCGTGGCTGCAGCAGGGGCCCGTGGCTGCCAACGTTGGGCCTCGGTGGGCGCCCCTGGGCGCCGCACGGCGGCCGCGCTGCCGGCGGCGCTGCTGGCCCGCTGCTGCGCGGCTCCGGCGTTGGCGTCGGGGCCGCCGGGTGGCCTTCGCCACGCGCTGCCGTCTGCGCCGCGCCTCGAGCTGCACGTCGTCCTGCGTCGGCACGGTTGCGCCCATGCCCTCTATAAGAACGGTTTTTTGAAGGCAGATCTGCCTTCAAAAAATAGGTCTACTCTGTAAGAACGGTTTTTTGAAGGCAGATCTGCCTTCAACAAATTGTTTTTTGAAGGCAGATCTGCCTTGTAAGAACGGTTTTTTGAAGGCAGATCTGCCTTCAAAAAGAACGGTTTTTTGAACGGTTTTTTGAAGGCAGATCTGCCTTCAAAAAACCGTTCTTACAGAGTAGCCCTCGCGTTCCCGACGGCATCTTTTGGCCGTTGCCGGTTTGGGCCATCGATCGTTTCTGCCGCGGGCCCAGCTAGTGGTGGCGGTGGTGGAAGAGGTCGGTGAGTAAGGGGAGGCGCCCCCCCCAACTCTCATGTCCTTCCCATCTCACTTCCTTTTTCTTCATCAGCTCTACAGTGGAAGCCCATGCCAAGAAGCACCCTGCTTGCCTCCGGGGTGTTCTGGGTTTTCTTCTTGGGTTTCGATGGTCTTGCTGTGGGAAGCGTGACGTCCCCGCACCAAAGATCAACGGACGCCCCGGGGTCTCAGGGCTGGGTTTCTCGTGGAAGGGTTCTTGTGGTCGA